AAAATAGATTATGGGTTGATTTTTTTTTCTGTTTGAATTTCAAAATCTCTGCTATTGCCTTAAATCAATTGCACATTCATCGAAATTATTTTATCATCTCTTGAATTTTCTTAATATGTCACGTCTCTTCATAATATCTTTACTGCCCTTGAAAGATCTTCCTCATCTTTCTCGTAGTTTTTCATCCATCTTTTTTTGATCAGAATTGTCAATTGGACTACTTGCTCTTTTTCTCATCCCCCCTCTTACTTTCTCGCTTCCTGTGGGTGTTAAATTCACCAAGTCGTTTTTTCTTCGGTCCATCTTCCAATAATTTCAACCGTATTTTATTGATTATTAAGAAAACCTTTTCATTTCCCATTATCCTCAAACCATCCACAGCATAATCATGTCTCTCCCAAACTTCTGCTCATTGATTGCTTTTAGAAATACGTTCTCTTTTATGACCTAACTGTCTGCATATGGTGTTGTTCTGACTGATTATTTTCGACAGCTTATCAATCTTTTGTATGTTATTTAAAGGCAGATAATATTTTTCAATTGTAATAGACTTTTGGAGATAAAAATAATGGTTAATTTGCAGATTAGGATCCTCGCTCAGTTTGCATTAAAAATTTCCCGAATACTTACATTTAGGTGTAAATATACATACTTCATTCGAAAATGATTGATAAATTTGATAAAATCTACTGTTTTGAAGTTATCGACAGTGAAGGTTCGGATTCATTCGCGTCGTTGGCAGCAGTCTTACTGGCGTTGTTTGCATACATTTGCTGTGGAAATCTAAACGCAGAAGAAAGTAGTTACCTGACTTTTTAATTACTGATCATACTCGTATTAATTACTGCGCAAGAGAACTACATTGCGTGCGCAATAATCAAGACAAGTAAGTATTAGACTCATATCTATTCCATGACAAATATATGCAAACCTCGCTAGTTATGGTTGCTGCTAACGACGCGAATGTATCCGATCTTTTACTGTTGATAATTCCAAAGCGTTAGATTTTATCAAATATATCAAGATATTTTTGAATCAAGCATATACATTTAAACCTAAATGTAATTGTCGGCAGGTTTGTTGAGATGTGAGTTTCCCGTGTGTCGGTGTATGAATCAAGACAAACACAGTTGTAGAGGAAAATACTGGTATATTCATAAAAGCAATTAACAATAGAGTGATTAGTAGAACGAAGGTTGGTTAGTACGAAACAATATCCAAAGTCTGTAGTCCAACGGTATGTAACGGGTAAGCTTATCTGGACTGCTGACGCTCTGTCTCTCGCTCCCCCGTCCTTTCTCTAGAGCTGACTTATATAAGAGGGACCAGTCCATTTCTAGTTAGAAGGTGGGTGCGCCCCAACAGGGTTCTAATGTGAAAATTAACCGAAATAATTATTGATAGAAGCCCTGCTAATTATCCAATAATTGGGTGAAGAGGCGGTAGATTTTATCTTTCTCAAGGGTATTTCCGCGTAAATAAATGTAACGAACGCGACAGAAATTGTTACTTGACTCTTAGATCTACAATTCCGTTTCTTTATGCAATGATATCACCAACACATCCAAGCTTACAGCACCTGCTATTCCCAAGAGGTCAGCTATCTAAGTACTGACCTGGATGGATGTTGCTTAACTTCGGTGATCATATCGGAACTCGGCTCTCCGATTAACAATTCCGAGACTTTATACATTACACTACCAACACATCCAATCTTACAGCCCCTAAAATTTCCAGACTCGACGTTGCATGTTCTTGTTTTATCCATTTGCAAAAACCTGTCAAATCAGTTACTCTAAGCTTTTCTCAATTTCTCTTATATCATATATATCCTGTGTGTGCTAAATTCGCCAAGTCTTCTTATATTGCTTTTCTATCCATCTACTTGATAACTCACTCATTCTTTCTCTTTTCTTGTCTTCAATATATCTTGTGAGTGTTCAATACGACCAAGCCTTCCTTTCTCAGTATGCATCCATTAGGTTTCATAATTTTCTCGTGGTTAGTAGCAGTTTTCTTGTAGTTCCTATTCTTATTGAAACTTCCTCATTTTACGTATGATCTGTTCATGGTATTCACAAGATTTCTGCAAAACCATATATCAGAAAATATCTTTAAAAAGTTATTGTAATAAAAATATTTAGCAAACAAAAATTGTAGCAATATCAGTTGTTAAAGGAAACATCTGAAAGATGTTACAGAAATTGTTTCGACAGTCATTGCCTTTACAAAGAAGGTTAGCTGAGTGAAAGCGGACCTCACAAGAACCATGTCAAACGATGCTGACAAAGATAGTCAGTTGAGTGGAGCGGAGTTGACATTTCTGGGCGAGAACTGACAGGAAAAAAATAAGGCGGCTTATCTATAAGATGGTGATCCATAGCAGACTAGAGGAGAGAGAACTCTCGACCGTCACTCGGAAAGCAAGACATCTACTTGCTAATTTCGTCAGCTCGCCTCAATCTGCCTCGCTCGTCTACAGCAGAGGGTTAAACGAAATAAAACTTGCCGACTGTTACAGTCTCGTCTTATGGTTTAATTTCGGGAGTAATGATCTGGACGAAAGGGTATTTTCTTCGTATTAAGCCAGAAGCGTTTGAATGAAATAAGCTGCACCCTGAGAACGAACATGGTGTTTGGTCTGAGTTGCAATGCTAAAAAAACATTTGGTTTAGTGAATAAGTTATCTAGCCAACAGCAATTCTAAACTAATATTCATTTCCATATATAAAATATTTAAATAAATATTAAATTAATCACTAAATTACACTTTTCATAGATAGTTGCCATTGAATTTATTTTAAAAAGATTATAGTGTAAACTTTTGGCATCTAAGTTGGATATGCATAAACGTTTTAAAATAATTCCCTATCGTTACCAATTGTTTCCTTGTGGGTCTTATTCTTTTGAAACTTCCTTGTTTATTCTTATGCATTGTTGATGGATGCTCAGAATCTGTCTATAGATTGACATTCACATCAGTTGGAATCGTTTCTTCATTTGTGACTAAAATCGTGACAATTTTATTCCAATAGCTTAAAAACAAAAGACTCTTTCAACAGAATTTTTTTTTTTACTTTTTGTAAGCATTTCCTTTGCAGACGACAATTATAAAAGAAATCTTTTAAAGAGTTTCCATGCCAGACATATATGAAATTAACCACAAACTGGTTTAAAAAATGGTGAAACATAATATTTATAATCGTATAGTAATTATGTTTTTCTCTTCCTTCGTTACTTCACACGACCGTCACGACCTGCCAATACTTCATAAATAATGGACTCTTCCTTTTTGATTGCGTAGAAAGAGGGGGAAACACTACTTGTTTTTAGTGACAAAATGAAACAACGATACAGCTGACACGAACAGATACTACACTTTGGTCATATGCAAAAGGCGGTGAATTTATTGCATTTTCTTGCATACCTACACTGACAGGATTTATCACATGGTCATTTAAATGTGGGGAGGCCGAGCGCATGCACCCGTGCCATGTTCAGAAATTGTCCAATCGGTATGACCATCGACAACCCTCTTTAAGGCAATGAGGGAGGTGCTGACGCGGACAGCTGTTACCCAAGACCGGGTACCTCTCAAGTATATTTTCAGTTGCGCTCTGTCTACGGGCAGATACACAACTGAGATGCAGTTTATTCTCGACTGAGAAAAAAAAACTGGTGTTATATGGCTCTCCCAGACCCAGACCCAGACCCACGCTAACTATTGGCTAATACCTGCCCAATATCGTCCATATGATAATTATCAGCGCCACCTACTGTAAGTAGACTGTTCTATGTCAACAGCGAATTGTGGAAGAGGACGTAACTCTTGGTGTATTACTGTACTACAAGCAACCAACTCTGAGTCTCTAATCGGGTTGACTCGATCTTCTGTTACACTTATCCACTTGAGAGCAGCTACTACACTTTGATCTTAGCCAAATGCCGGAGAGGCGATTGTATTTTCTTACGCCTCACGCTGGCAGGATGTGACACAAGGCCAGTTTAATGTGGGGAAGACGAACGCGTGCATCCGGACCCGACACAAAAATACTCCAGTCCCCGCAACTGTCTATTGCGCTGGCATCGGTATTACTAACGATCCTCTCTCTTTAGTCGGAGATACTGTTGTAGACAGAGACACAATTGAGACGGGCTCCAACCGAAGACAGAGATACGAGAAGATACGAAATATGACTTATTTGCTCTAGAGCAGTTTCCACACCTTTATCTCAATCAAAAGGCCGGGCAGCGATGGCGACTGTAATAAATGCGACATTTTTCAAACGCATAGCTTCGAACGACGGCAACTAAATGAGGCCATCGCTCAAAATCCAGTCACCATGAATAAAGTAATATCTTCTGCTGAATTACTTAAATTATAGAAAAAATACGCGTAAGCGGGGATTTGTCTAGTTCTTAAATTTTACATTAAAATGATCGTACTACGAAATTAAGCTACTTTAGACTGATGGGTTGCGTACTTTTTAAAAATAATTCTTCCATTTTTATCATTATTTTCTTTTTGGCAACTAATCCCTTGAAAACTATTCTCCTTTGAAAGCTTCGTTAGAGGAAACATGTTAAGTTTTCTTCCGGATTTATTTTCTGCTATCATTGACATATTGAAGATTAGATATTTGTCCAGAACAGATAACAATACAATTGTCCCATCGCCCACGAAAACAAATAAAAATGAAACAGCAACAAAAAAGTGACCGCTTGAAAGGTTAAAAAAAGGACTAACTTTATGACAGCGAAACCTTTTGGTTCAGTCAGGGTAAAAATGAGCAATTGATTTTCGGATAACAGATCAATTGATTTTCGATAAAATCTTTTCGGATAACAGATCAATGTGAGCATGACACCAGCAGAAAGCGATGCACTTTATAAATACGAGGCAGTGAGGATTTGCTTTCACTTGTCAAGGATTGACGTGAAACACATTGTCTCATAATTCCCATTTCGACCCAAAATTCAACTCTATTTCTCTTGCAGATATGTCTGCAAATAAGAAATCTATCTATCTATCTATCTATCTATCTATCTATCTATCTATCTATCTATCTCATTCTGTTCATCTCTAAGTATGTTCATATCTATCTATATATCAGCTTGCTAGCTAATCTGTATTGTTTTGCCAGTTTCCATAATTTCTGATCTATCTATCTATCTATCTATCTATCTATCTATCTATCTATCTATCTATCTATCTATCTATCTATGTCCTTTACTGGGAATTAAGCTCAACCCGGACCTCACGTGGATCTTCCAAATAAGAATTTACGCTAAAGACACTAGGAAAAGTGTCGGTCCTCTGCGACGCACGAGAACGCACCTCATTTCTTCTATCTTTCCAAGAGTCAAATCAAGCCACGAATGAACTAACATATGTGCAGAGAGTTTATATTTGATTATTTCAATCGGTCCCTATCTATCTATCTATCTATCTATCTATCTCACTCTCTCTCTCTCTGTCTCTCTTTATCTATCTATCTATCTATCTATCTATCTATCTATCTATATATATATATATATATATATACACACCACTCTTCGTCAAAGTTTTCGTGGCTTTAATCAATGCCGAAGTAGTTAAGCAGCTTACCTCCCACGATCTATTCTGACAAACAATATGGTTTCCACTTTGTCCGGTCTACCGTTGTTGTGTTTACTGCGTTAACTGAATATGAATACCAAGCTCTTAATAATAATGGTGAAGCTTGAGCTGTTGTTCTAGATATATCGAAGGTGTTTGGCAGGGTTTAGCATGACGGCCTTCTACGAAAGCTTCAAGGACACGGTATTACAGGACAATTATTTGATTTAATCCAATCCTGTTTGACCGTGAAATGAAGGTTGTCCTGAATGGGTTCTCTTCCAGTTCCTTTCATAAAAACGCTGGTGTTCCGCTAAGCGCTATACTTGGTTCTACACTGTTTCTGATTTTCATCAACGATCTTCATTAACGATCTTCATTTCTGAAGTAGGCATCGAATGCAGACGACACTACCATTTACCCCTGTCTCAGTAGCAAATCCGGCATTGCTGAAAAAGTTAATCTGACTGTTGGCCTTGAAAATGATCTCCAATCTTTGGTTGACTGAGGCAGGAAATGGCTTGTAAATTGTAATGCATCCAAAACGAAACTGCTCTCATTTACTCACCACAGAGAAACTTCCCTGTCCCCTATCAGTATGGTTGATGCTCAACACCACGAGAGCGCTCGCTGCGCCTTCTTGCTCTCACGTTTTCCACTGACCTGAGGTGGAGCTTGCACATTGAATCAATAGCTGTATCTACCGCAAAGAAAAATTGGTTTTCTGTATCGTGACAGAAGGTTTTCTGAGTTCAACCTTCACATCTACAAATATTTCATTTGTCCATGCATAGAATACTGTTGCCATATATGATCTGGTAGCACCATTGTTCATCTCGAGTTCCTCAAAAAAATCCAAAGACGGATATGCAATGTGATTTGGTCCTGACTTTGGATATCGACTCCAATCACTTTCTCACCGACGTAATAATTGTCTTTCCCTTGTCTTTTCTACAAATATTTTCATGACATCTGCTCTGAAGAGCTATTTTCCCTGGTGCCCTAACTGCATGAATTTAAATGTACTACCAGGTTGGTATCTCGGTCCCACCCGTTTACTGTCGAAACAGTTAAATGTAACCACCTCTTCTACTCGAACAGCTTCTTCTCTTGCCCTTCCCGGCAGTGGAACTCTCTTTCTCTTACTTAAGATATTTTACTCTCTGCCTATTCAAAGAATACCTTGCGTCTAGTACGACGTGGCTATTTGGTTAATATATAGGAATACAAAAAGCCAAATATCCGGAGCCTGGCAATTTACAAAAATTGAGTTACTTTCTGTGTGTCGATTTTGTACAAAAATGAGTTTTCAGTGACAATACATAAATCTATTAGCATTTTCTACAATTCGGGAAAGGGGCTACATATACACTATATATATATATATATATATATATATATATATATATATATATATATATATATATATATATATTGCGTATATTTTGGAAATATGATTTCAATAAGGCAGTCTACTTATTTTAATTGAATCCTTTCATATTCACAATATCATCAGGGTGATTTTTTAAGACAAATATTGTATTGTTAATCATTTTCAAAGACAAAATTGCTGTGCTCATCTGAAAGTTAAAATTTCTTACTTGTGAAATGAAGAACGCTGGATTTTAGTACATGCGATTAGCTTCAGGGGAGGTAACCAACTTATGTGGTTGTCAAGAGTATTTTTGAAAGTATTACCTATTACCAAGTTGTTCATATCTATCCCCGTCTGTTATCTATCTATCTATCTATCTATCTATCTATCTATCTATCTATCTCTCTATCTATCTATCTCCGTCTGTTTATCTTTCTATCTATCTATCTCCGTCTGTTTATCTATCTATCTATCTATCTATCTATCTATCTATCTATCTATCTATCTATATATATATATATATTTATATATATATATATATATATATATATATATATATATTTATCTATCTATCTATCTATCTATCTATCTATCTGAATCTTATCCTCGCCCTTTTTTATATTATTTCTTCAAACCCACTTCTTTACTCTTGATTTCACTCTCTGTAAGCCCTTACGTGCTAGTAACATTCCCGCCTTCCTTGAGATGAAATGCTTTAAAAAATTGCTGAGTGACGAGTGTTCTAAACGAAGAGACTCTATCTAACATATTTGAACATTTTTTTTCCTCTCCGATTGGGCAAATATCTGACGTTATTTTCAAAGTCATCTTTACAGGAATTCTAAAATTACAGAATCCAGATTTTGCTAATTAGTGTTTCTAAATTGGTTCATATATTCAAATATGCATTAATTGAAGACATGTCAATAACGAAATATGTGTGTAAAAAGAATGTTTAACATTATCTGACAAAATATACGGCGTTCAAAAATATTAACATCTAGCTAGCTATGTCAGCTCCTATCTATCTATCTATCTATCTATCTATCTATCTTAGTCTGTTCATATCTATCTACTACTATTCTTACTATAGCCACCATAATAACACAAAATCTCAATAGACACCCTAACAAATACCCAAAGAAATTACAGTTCTTGTCTGTGTGGACAGAGGAATAATACAACAGTTTAAAAATCTAAACTCCAATTTTTATTTACAATATGAGATAAGTTATTTACAAGAAACTAAATAAAATAATGTAGTGTACAGTAGTATCATAGCGAAGATAGCATTCAATCAATTACCATGAAAGTATTTATAGAAAAAATCTATCTATCTATCTATCTATCTATCTATCTATCTATCTATCTATCTATCTCCGTCTGTTTATTATCTAGCTAGCTAGCTAGCTCGGTCTGTTCATACATATCGATCTGCTTATCTTGATTGAGGGTAAAATGAAACAGAAGTATAGTTGAATCACTCCTTTTTAGCAGAATATATTCAAGAAGAAAATTCTAGTTTATTTAATCATGTAAAAAGTGCAAGAAAAATTCATCTATCAAAAGTTATCTATGTGAATCTTTTTATCTCTTTATGTGAATCAAATCTTTATATATACTGCTTTACTAAACATAGCTTCCATGTGTCACAAAGCTGAATGTATGGAACACCCAGTAATAATCGAACTCAATACGCATTGATCTAGCAAGAAAAACTGGCTTACATTACGTCGATACGGCTATCTCTTTCTCTATATACATATTTTATCCATACGAATCAATATATATATATATATATATATATATATATATCTTTCTCTCTCTCTCTCTCTCTCTATCTATCTATCTATCTATCTATATATATATATATATATATATATATATATATACAGGTTGAGGCAGAGAGGACGGAGATTTTTTAAAATAATAGCCATTTCAAAAATGTCCATCATCTCTGCCTCACCTTGTATATATATATATATGTATATATGTGAAAGTGTATATAAATATAAATAAATATATATATGTATAATTATTTATATAGTATATATGGTATTTTGTCTGACGATCGCTAAAGCGTGAAATAGGGTCACAAACTCACATCTATCAACCAAATATATATATATATATATATATATATATATATATATATATATATATATATATATATATATATATATATATATATATATATATATATATATATATATATTTAATGCATGTTTCATTAAATAATATAGACAGGTTTTGTCTATTTATTTTTAAGTAGGTTCTTACATATTGTCTGATAAGCTTAATCACATTATCGTTGAAAGACGAAAGCCATTATAAAAGATGACAATTTCAATAAATCAAGCAGCACACGGACGAAACAACAACGATAGTCCCCCCTTGCTGCATGAAATTATCCAAGTAACTACAAACTCGTATATTCTAGACGCGGAAGCGAAAATCACGTCGCAGTTCGTGACATCCCACATGAACACGCGAGAGTGAAAAACGTTAAGTATTAAGTATGGGAAGCCGGTGGTATAAACCAATGGCTTCAATATATTATATATATATATATATATATATATATATATATATATATATATATATATAGTTCGATGTCTAAATTGTCGACTAAACTAGGCCAAAATGAAAATACTATTGCCATCTCATTTTAACATATATCTACCAAAATTACACAAAAATATCTTGAAATACTGTAGAGTAAAGCTATTCAATAAAATCGCCATTAGCTTCAACCACAATCTCCAGACGACTTCGGAGTCTCCTGCAATTTTTCTAGACCGACTAGCTGTTTAAGTTGGTGGATGCAGCCATAATCCTTACCTTCTGTTAATTTTTAGTGTTACAAGGAGTTCTGTTGGTATCTCGCTCAACTGCACCCCACACATAATAATCAAGGGGTTGAAGTCTAGAGAGATTGGTGGCCACATGTAAGGGGTGATATGGTCACAGATAGTTTCACTGCCATGAGTGAGTTCTCCTGTTTGTGTGGCATGGTGCAGAGTCCTGTTGCCAGAAATAGATTCTTCCATAAACCACTTTCCTTGATCCAGTTCAGCACTAACTCTTCAAGGCACTTGGCGTAGGCCTCCGTGTTGAGTCTGAGCCCCTCACGAACAAATTACGGAGTTATTTTGTTACGATCAAAGTGAATTTTCTAAGATAATCCTCGTAATCACCATTAGACTCATCCAACTCTTTCCGAGTCCTCTTACCAGATTGACAACCAAACACTCTGTAATATTTGTATTGGGTGCTTTTAGTGCTAGTGTCATACAGTACAGTATGCCGTTTCCAAATTACTGGCGGAGTGACTGACCCTACTATACTGTTCAGTTGACAAAATCAAAATCAAACAACGCGCATGCGCGAAAGTAAAAATATAAAATAGTGACAATTTTCTCCACCGCAACCTCTGCATCTTTTAAATTCTTGGTAGCAGTAAAAAATAAAATTACTAAAACAACATATTTACATTACTTGTCTATCTTTCTCCACCAAGTTTCTAGAAGACAGATCCCTGAATGACTCACCTTCTGTACGAAGACAGAGGTTTAGTCTTGTCTTGTCTAAAATATAGGACTGACTCCGATGCGTCTACTTCGACCCCATAACGTGGAACACTTTATAGTATCAGAGGGGTTCATAGAGTCAGCGAGGGTGTACTCTTTACTCCACAACATCCAACCTTTTGAAATTACTAATTTATTAAATAAATATATTATTCCGTATTAATATCTGACCGTTCTTATTCTGGAGAGTTTACAAAGTACTTTACTTTCTAGCATTTCCGTTTTGGGTCCACTTCTAGTTCTTCTGTAGACTTTCTTTTCTTTGAACTTGTCCTTGTTGGTGCCACTATTCATTTTGGTACTGGCATATCAAAATTTTTGTGCAGCATTTAACCGGTTCTTCAGGTCTGATTTTCAAGTGTTTCCTCATTTAAGTTGTCCAGACTTGTTTTTTTTTCAATGCTCTTTTGAACTTTCCCACAAACCGTTCCGCTTGTCCGTTTGACCTTGGGTGACATGGTGAGGTCACAATATGTTCTATAGAGAATTACTTGCAAAAGTTTTAAAATTCTTTTCCAGTGAATTGTGTTCCATTATCGGATAATATATTATCTGGGATGTCATATCTAGAAAACGCTATCACTGAGGATGTAGGACTTTTGCATTTGTAAATTTCTGGCTATTTAGTAAAAATATCAACTACTACTAGATGATATTCTCCATCCATAGGATCTGCAAAATCTATATGCAATCTTGACAACGGGATGTCTGTCTTTGTTCAAGGTTCTATCTTTGTGATAGATCATTTTGCTGCTAGAGAACAACCTATACATATTTTTAATGTTTTTTTCCATACCTTGAGCCATTCCGGTACAATATACAAATCTCTTGGAATGGTAGAATGTACGGAATAAAAGTCCTTTAATATGTGTTTCTGTAACACATTCGATACTACAATTCTTTGTCCATACACTACAACACCATCGCATATCAAGTAAGTGTTCAATTCTTGATTCCGTTGTAATTTAATTTCTTTTAACTGCTTCTTTATTTCAGCCATAAAGACGTCATTTTCTGAATTTCCTTCAGTGTACCTGGTAATTAACGTACTACGTTTCACAGAGTGTTTTTAATTTCCATCTCGCTTTTTAGGGCTACTATGACCGTGTCCTCCAAGTGTTCCGTATTTTTAGGTATTAAACTAGATAATCCATATTTTATAATCCTAATCCATATTTTATAATCCTATTTTTAGACGGTTGGCGTCCATCGTAAAATTATTATTTAACAGAATGGTAACCTAACGCTTTAATCTGTCAGTTGTATGGGTAGGTATACCTGTCTTTGAACCATATATAGATAATAACGGTTTATGATCTGTTTGCAACGTGAAATTTCTTCCATGAATAAATTTGTGGAATCTTTCATAGCGAATATAATTGCTAGAGTTTCTTTCTCTATTTGGCTATAATTTTTTTATGACGCTAGAAGCGAGCGTAAAGTATGAACGAAAGCTATCATTTTACCACTATCGTATTTGTATAAAATCACTCCGTAATCACTAGCATCTGACACTACTAAAATTTTACTTCTGGATTGTAGTACGCTATTAATAACTAAGACGTAAGTCTTTTTATCTTGTCAAACGCTTTTCGACATTTATGATCCCAACTCCACTTTATTCCCTTTTTCAATAGATTGTTAAGTGGAGCTGTCAGATTATGTATATTACATACACACATTATATAATAATGAGCTAGTCCTAAAAAAGCTTGTAACATAGTTACGTTTGTTGGTGGAGGCATATATCTAATTGCATTTGCACTCGACGGATCTGGTTTCTTAATATTTCTATCAATAATTTGACCCAGGTATTTTATTTTTGGCAAAAACTATTCTCATTATCTTTCACTAAGCTTGAATCCATATTCTCTTAGTTTTTGCATCATAGTTTTGACATGCCCAGCATGTTCTTCATTCGAGACGCTCTTGATCAAAAGAACGTCTAGATGCGCCACTGCGAATCAGCAATCCGACTGCATGGTATGGATGGCTTGTTAGAAAATA